GGAAAACAACTTCTCCTACAGCACTTGACCCCACGAGGTGACGGGTACCACCAGCACCCCTGGGAGCATAATGGCTCTGGCAGGGAGGCCCTGGAGTTATGCAGTCAAACACAATGTAGAGCTTTCCCCAAAGCTGCAGTTCAAGGTCCCTGGGCAAGGTCCCCGTGGGGTGATGGTTAACCTCCGTGCCCATTTAAAAGCAGCATAACAGTGTTAATGTCTGCCCTCAACCCTGGCACCTTCCTCCCTGAAGATATAAAAAGTTCAGAGGACTTTATTAGCCACTTGTAGCAGCTTTCACATGGAAGCCCAGAAGCGCCACGGTTTTTTATTCTATAACAAAAAGTAATTCAAGCTGTGGCAAGGGGGATAACACCAATTCTGGCATCAGTTATCCAACAAAATGAGTCAAACAGCACTGCAGTGCAATGTATACTGTTTGTTTTTCCACTTCCCAACACAGACAGGGCGGTGGCAAAGATGGCTGGGATGGTAAGGGAGCTTGGCACAGGCAGAGTGATTTGTTCAGGACAATTAGCAAAGCCAGTGGCAGGGCCAGGACCAGAAGTGCCGTATCTCGGTCCTAGGCAGGAGTCTTTCTGTTATACCGCTAAAACAGACCAGCTCTTACCTGGTTACTCCCCCAAATGCCTGCTCTACAGTCAAAGCAGAGATTCTTTCTTTCATTTTACCTGTTTCTGCTTTTATTGGTACCTTGACAAACAGTGAAGGAAGATTTGCTGGACTTTGAGGCGACCAGAGCTGCTCCAGCTGTGTACTGGACCTGGTGAGGACTGGGAAACTTCACTGCTCTTCACATCATCATCTGCCAGGTCCTGCACAAGAAAGAGCTTTCGTACAAGGGGCCCAAACACCTGATATGACATGCTTGGGGGATGACGACACACAACCTTGTGCCATTCTGGCTGGGAACAGGCAGGCACAGGGGATGACAAGAGCATGGAATGGGTAGGCAGACCAAACGTCACCAAAATACCATTTTCTTTATTCAAAGAAAACCCATTATACTCATGGTATTGGGGCCAATTTCATGATGCAAGGGCTATGAATCTGCAAAGCTGGCAATGACGTAGCAGAACCACTGAGTCTTAGAAATCTTCACTCTTAAAAATACTGATATTTTTCCAAAAAGGCAGAAAGTGTCAGACTTTCTCCATGTGAATTCCTTGGGGCTAGAAGCTGTCTGGTGGCAGGGGCTCCTTCATTACGGATAATCTGATAATGATCTGCTTTATCAGAAAAGATACCAGAAAAATGCCTCCCTGACCATACCTACAGGACTAAAACACAAATATCTTCTCTGTTAAGGGCAGAAAAAAACAACGATGCAAATCTGCAGGCAATGGGGTGGGCAGAGACCCAGTCTGTTACTGCCCCGCTGGCACAAAGTGCTGTGAGGCAAACCACCCCCAGGGAACCAAATTAAACCACCCTGAGGGAAGTGAATTACTGCGTGTTCACTGCAGCACGTGCACAATAACCGCACCCGAACACCGGCTGGGCCAAGCAGTGTGCCCAGAGCTGCCTTCTGCTCCAGCCAGCCAAGGCCACCCCCAGCCCCATGCTGTGCCTCCTGGTAAGCCTCCGTCAGGGCAAAAGTGGCATTTCACTGTTCTGAAGCAAAGACAGGGGTCTGCTCCCTTCCCCAAAGAGTGCCAGGGGAGAGGATGCCGTAGCTGGATCAGTAGCATCCCTGCGGCCCTTCCAGCACTGCTGAGAATGAATTAACTGTGTCTGGCTCCAGGCCAGGCCCCGGAGGTGGAGCTGGCTCCATTACAAATTCTCTTGCTATTTGTAGCATCTCCCCAGTCCCCAGGGCTCTGGCTGCTGGGGGGAGAAACCTGCTGGTATCGGTTTTGGTTTGTTTCTAAGACATTTCTCAGCACTGTGGTTGTACAAGCAGCTGAAAAGCCATGTTTCAAAACCCCAGCCAGAAGGACGAGTGCTTGGGAGGGTGTCTCCAAGCTGGAAAGATAAATCCATCCCGGGTTTCCCAGGTCTTAAAGTGTCTATAATGGCAATCAAACACTCCATGGTGCACTGGGTGGCACTGTTGCAGAGCTGGGTGCCGATGAGCAGAGCTCCCTGCAGAAGCAGCGTCCAAGCCATGTGTCCTGCTCCACCACACTGCCCTGGCTGCAGAGCCAGCATCTCCCTGTGCAAGGCAGGACCTCAGCAGCTTTCTGACCCGTTGTGGCTGCTGCAGAGATCTTCAACACAGCTTCCTAATCTTCATTTGACATGTTTAACACTTTTTTTTGTTTTTTTTCTAACTGATAGTGCTGATTGATGTTTTTCTTTGGTTTCTTCCCAAGGAAGACAAGGGACCCTGGGGGAGGCAGCCCACCCAAGAGGTGCCGAGTCCCCACATGGAGACCTTTGGGAGCAGGGAAAGCACCACTGGGGGAGCAGAGCTAAAGCCCTGACCTGGGGCAGAGCAGAGCTGCCCTGGGTAACCTCCCATGTTTCCAGGGCTGTTGCTGTGTGAAAGCACTGCCATCACTGGCCTCCTTTTCCCAATAGCAGTTCTGGCCGTGGCACCATTCCTCTGCTGTGGCTTCAGAGCCAGGTAAGCAAGAAGTGCTTCTCAAATCTCAAACTTTCCTCTATCAACTCCATCCCAGGTGTCAAAGCAGTAGGTTACACAGCAGATAGTACCAACATGCCACAGGTCAGTCATACGTGTCACCTGGCCAGAAACAGGAGTATCCCTCAGCTTGGGCCTGCCATGCAGAAGAGAAGACTCTGGTAACCCCTCTGCTGTTTTTTTTGGCCAGTTGTCCGTGACCAACAAGCACCTACAGGACCACCACTTGGGAGAAACACTGCACACAAATACCCTGACAGTCAGCATCATCTTAGAGAAATCACAACCCACTGCCTACCAGCAGACTGTCAAGCATCATTCCCATTAGCACTACACAGCTTGCACTGGTACAGCACGCCTCCTGCCAGCTCTGTGACTTTTTGAGCTCTTCTGCCACGTCAGAACAGCAAACCTACATCATCAGCCACTCGTGACAGTGGTAAAGACCTCTGAAGCTCAGAGGAAGCAGCGTACATTCCCATCCTCTGTGTAGCTCACTGTAGAGATAAAACACATACAGGACCATCTGCAAGCAATCTCCATAGCAACTTGCTGCTTCTCACCTCTGCCTGAAATGAACCGCATCCTCTGCAGCTCTCACCACTCAGAAGAGACTTCTAGTTTCTCTTGACTTTCAGAGATGATCTTTATTCACTTTACCCACAATAAACTTTTTGTCTTCAAACCTGTCCTTTTGCTGCTAGTGGAGGTTTCATGTTGGGGCTAAACCAGGAACCAGAGGTGCCACGAGGTCTGGGACACACACTGGGACTTGCCACTGCTTTGGGACTTGGTTTTTGGTCAAGACAGAGAGGACCTGAGGCTGTCTGGAGTATTGAGACTCACAGTGCTTGCCTGGGAGACCCCACCTAGCTCGGGCACTGACAGCTCACCCGAGCACATCTCAGGGGGCAGAGGAAGGGACTGGGGCTCACATGCTCTGAAATCCTAACCCTGACTCAACCACGAGGTCCTTGCATGGCCTCTTGGCTTGCAAGTCTCCGTCCTGTCTGTGAGAAGAGCTAATCCTCATTACCAGGCAGCTGTAGTGTTTGGATTAGTTACACGCGGAGCGCTGAGGCAATGAGTAATGCCCAGCACCACGCTCTCAACGCTGTCAGTTAAGGGAAACCACATAAAATACAAACACTGACAGCGTGTTTGCAGAGAGGCCTCTCTCTAGCTGCCTTCTGCTGATGAAATGAGTTGTGCTGCATGTTCTGCTCCAGGCAGTTCTCACTGAGCCTCCACAGTCCCACCACCTGCTGAACCACCGCCACCTCCTTAATTACTGAGCCCAATTAAATCCTGACCTTAGATTCAAAGAGGGTGGGAAAAAACCAATGTAGAAAGGAGCACTTGAGACACAGCCATGTGCTTTACAAATCTCACCCAATGTAGAAACACAGCCAATGTAGAGACACAGCCATGTGCTTTACAAATCTCACAGTTTATTTTTCTCTCTGTGTAAATCAGTGCTAGTTAACATTACTCACATTTCTCAGTGCAGGGTGCAGAAGTGACTACAACAACGCTTAAGCTGCAGTTCAGTGGGATTGTTCTGAGTCCTGGATCCCAGGCAATCTCCACGTGCTGGTGATCTGGAATAGAAAAGAACTGCAGGGCCAGCATTTCCAGTAGCTGCAACTACTGTAATACAAGCTACCTCCACAGCATCTCTAAGGGAAGCCTGCTTTCCTCAGGCATCAGCTGCATGCAGACTCCAAGCATTTACAGCCAGCAGCGTATAAAAAGTTTATGGCACAGTTTCTGAGTCAGAGCTAGCACAGCCAGATGAGGAAAGAGCAAACCATAGCTCTTCTCAGAGCCACTTAATCTCACGTAGGACAAAACAGAACAAAGTTCAGCAGTGGAAGGGAAAGCTGGTCCCTAGAGAAGGCAGGGTCCCAGCTTGGCCAGCAGTGCCCACAGCCCACTGGCTGCTCCACTAGTGGTCACCACTGGGACAGAAGGGATGGGGCATGAAGCCAGGCAGCCCCAGCACTTGGGAAAATCATTGAAAATCCTCTATATGGCAAACAGGCGAGACCCTTATGGACACTGTGCAAAAGTAGCTCATATCAATTACCAGGAGGTTCTCTGAGGAGACAATCATGTGTGATGTGGAAATCTCATTGTGCAATATTAAAAAAAAAACGTGTCACTTAAAGCACCCTTCCAGAGCTCATAGCAGGCCACACTAGCTGCACAGTGCTCCATCACTGTTCAAGCGCGGAGAGGATAAAACCAAAAAACTAATTTGGGAAAGCAAGAGGGAGCCTTTCATGGGGCAATGAAGTGAGGGAAGCTGTGGGATGGCTGGACAGTGTCTGTACCACAGTTGAGTAGTTCAGGCACCAGTACCTACTGTAGCAGCTAAAGGAGCCAACCACAGTTGCAGGTGCCAGTACCTACTGTAGCAGCTAAAGGAGCCAAATTTGTTTGCTACATCAGATTTAAGCCTGTCCCACAAAGCTCATCAGCAGGGGGTGGAGAGACTGCAAGTCCCACCACAGGGACTGACTGAGGGATAGCTCAGAGCTCACTCATTATTAGAGGGGCTTTTCCCTGCCCAGCCCGTCTGTGGTCACTGGTTCTGGCAGCTCCTGGCCACAGTGCTGGGAGGGAAGAACCCTTTGCAGGGATCTGACCCCCCCGAGGGAGGTAATGAGGCTGTTTAGAGGCAGTGTTGCTGTTTTCCTGGAAAGAGAAGACAGTCACAGCACAGCAGCTTCCCAGCAGTATCACGAAAACAACGGAGGGCTGTGACTGACCCATTTTCAATCAAATGGAAAACTCTGCTTTTGTTTCCCATTTTAGTTTCTCCCTTCGAGACATCTCATAGCAACAGCTTTGCTCTGCTATTAGCAGCCTGTCCTTGTAAGGAAAAGCAAGAGCCCATTAACGAGCCAAATTTATCACTGGGAGAACTCTGCTGACCTAATTACACTAGCCACATATTTGACCCATTATGTTAACCTTCCTCTGCATCCTCCACAGTTAAAAGGAAAACACCTTTCAGCTTTAATCAGGACAGCAGAGAACACAAAGAATAAGACTTAGGGAAGAAAAGAAGAATGCCATGCTGTTCTCAACACCCTACAACACCAGATGTGAAGTCATAACCCAAAGTGAAAGCACATGTGTCTACAGGGGAAATGCATCAGCAATGGGCACAGACAGCCCTGACTACATCGGTACGAGCACTGGAAGGATGCCTGAAGGACAGCCCTTTACAGGGTGGCTCCTGGGATGTAAAGACAAGCACTGGAAGGATGCCTGAAGGACGGCCCTTTACAGGGTGGCTCCTGGGATGTAAAGCCAGTCGGCGATGGCAGTGGGCAGGTGAGTCATGACTTGCAGCCTCACCCACCAATAGGTCTCCATGGGATTGTAACGGTTCTTTGGGCACGGGGAAGTGAGCGCATCGGTGATATCATTCAAGACCAGAGACATGTCCTTCAGGCCACTGTTAACGAAGGACTTCATCAGGGCCACGTGGCGAGTGAAATACTCCCTCCCGTAGTCCTCCTGCACCGTGCGGCTGGCCCCGCGCCACAGCGCCTCAGCCTGCCGGTCGATGCCGTCCGCCGTCAGGATGCCTGTCGCTGCCACGAAGTTACTGGGCTCAATGAGGATGACTCTGACGCCCCAGCGGTACATCTCCTGCCGGAGGCAGTCAGAGAAGGCTGCCACCCCAAACTTGGAAACGCAATAGCAGGAGCGAGATGGACTCACCATCCGACCCAACATGCTTGTGATATTCACCACACGGCCTAGAGAGAAAAGATGACCGAGACATGATGGGATGAAGAAGAAGCAGACAGAACATCCCAGTAAGAAGGTGCTTTGTTAGATGATGCTCATTTGTAAAATCTTAATCTTGCAGAGGTATCCAAATTCCCTGCCAAAAAGCCTTTCTCTCCTAACTCAGGCAAGGCTAGCCCCTGCTCTGACCTCCTCCATGGATGGTACGCATGCCTGCCTCTGTATTAAAAAAGATTTACAAAGCATATAAGACATTTCCCTCCCAATTTCCAAATAGCGAAGTACCCAGATCTTCTGAGGCTACTAGCTGTGTGGTCTCACATCAGTGTGTGTCACTCCTGCATCTTCCTAGATAAGTGTTCAAGCTCCCAGCTAGCAGCATTCTGAGCTGGAAAGGGCGCAACACTGTGATATGCCACACAAGCATTCTAGTTCTTTCTTTAATCATGACAACTCATCTGCAGCCATTCTGCCTAACGCAGCTACATGCTTCTAGACCTGAGCTGGATGGCAGAGACCAGCGGAGGTTTCTCTGACCCTGCATAATAAGCAGCACAGCCCACTCACCCAGCTGCTGGCCTGCAGTGCTACATGACCAGGACAGAGAGGAGACTTGATGTGCTGCTGTCTATGGGGCAGTGAAAAACAATTGCCCTAACTCCCACCAGGAGCCCACACCAGCCCAACTGCAGATCTCTGAAAGCTTGTCTTAGATCATGCACTGCCTAGGGGCAGTGACAGCAGCGGTCACTCTGAGGGTGGCTCTGTCCTTCCCCAAGACAAAGATGTATACGATTATGGTTTCAGATGCACTTACAAACAGGCCCCTGAAATCTCACCAGCTATTTTTACAGAGAGGATTTTCACAGCTGTAGAGCATGACACCCTTCTGCAGCTTGAAATTTTAGCTGAGAAACAAGTGGGTGGTTCTGCTCTCTCATTCCAGGCCTAAAGTGCAGCTGGGAGGGACTGCAAGAACCACCTGCTGACCTGACGGGTAAGCTACCTCTTGTAGTGAGATGGGGCTTGTTTAGCAGGTAGTTACTTTCTGGAAACGGTATCTGAGCAATCTTCTCAATATAACCCCTTTCTGTCCTCACAGAACACACAGCTGTGCCAGCATTCTCCCACACATGCCAAATAAAGCAGCTCTTCAGAGTTCTGCTCATACTTTTTTTTTTTAAATATAAACCAAAGACTTTTGATAATACTGTTATCTTATATCTAAAATGGTTGTTATTGACACTCATTCATTCCACTACTACCACCCTGCAATCACCTGTGAAGTGACTAACATGAAGGGAGAAGATTCAGTTATCCAAACAACAGCACTTGGTGGACTCTGGAGGCCTGGATTATCTTGTCCGGCCTCAAGTCACTTGTTCTAAAGGTGGCCTGGAGTCCTGTATCATATCTGCCAGCACTGCACAAAGGTCTCTGGTATCCTGGGATGTTTCAGATACCCACCTGCTGTGTAGGTACCTGGACTGCCCCAAGAGTGGCCTGTACTACCAAATGCTTGCACAGCATTTTGAACCCTGCTGTCTAGTCAGCCTGCATGCCTCAGACACCCTCCTTGGACTGCGCAGGCATTCCTCGAAGCACTGCCTGAGTCATGATTTTTAGCTACATCTCTCTGCTCTGCTGCAAAAGCTCTCTCTCAGCCTTGTCACACTGCCCAGCATGTACCTTTAGCTCGGCGGATGAGGGGCAGGAAAGCCTTTGTCACCCTCACGGTGCCCCACAGGTTGATCTCTGCCACGTTCTTGTAGTTGTCTAAACTTGCAAATTCCACCTCTCCGAAGGTCGAGACGCCAGCATTGTTCACCAGGCCCCACAGACCTGCCAACAAACACATGGTTAAAGAGTGGAATGAGGTAGTGTCACAGAGAAGCAGCTTTCCTTGTTGCTCAAAGTAACCCAACCCCTTGACAAAGAACTGGGCACTTTTGTAGAAAAAAAAGCAAGGAGATGGAATACACTCTTGATATAAGAGAAGTGAAGCCAGTGGACCTTGTTTAGGGTGCCAGGGAGAGTGATGGGGTCGCACAAGCATTGCCTCTTGGAATGCCTCCTATAAGGTCAAATTCTGTCCTGCTGGATCTGGCTGACCCTCTCTTATGCCTCCTGTTGGTCCCAGGTTTGTCTTCACTCAGTGACTTTATCAGGGCTTTTGCATTTTGGAGGGGCTAGACTTTCCCTCAATTAAAAAAAAAAAACGGAAAGAAAACAAATATTTTTGATTTCTAAATCCCCTTCACAACTCTGAGTCACTGTTTTGGAAAGCGCACAGTATTAATCTGTAGGTTCATGGCCCAGTTAACAGCTCCTGCATTTTAGTCCAGTTATTTGGTTTCCCTCAATACTAATCACAGCAGGACATGGCAGACTTACAATCAATCCTTAAAACTACTAGAATTTAAAAATTAACAACTTTTGTGCATGCAGTCATGTCAAAATTAAACTGACTGCACTTACCAAGAGCTTCTGCACTGAGTCCCTTACACGTCCAAGACTCATCAGGTCACTGAGAACTTCACCCTTCAAAGCGATTACTGAAGGAGTCTCAGTGGAAAACATTTGTAGGACTGAGTCTGTACTTTGTGAATTGGTGGAAGCCCAGGACTATGCAGCCAGAAACTGCAGGAGGAACAAACAGAAGAGCTGGAACAACATAACAGAGTTCTCCTCACTAGATGTCTTGCTATACACCATGGTTAGTTTTCACTGTGTAAGTACCCAGTTGGAGCCAGGGCCCCTTTCTACTCCCTGACCTTCCTCTTACTACCAAGAACATACACGGGAGGTGGAGTCTTCAGGTCCAGGGAGCTCTGACATTGCTATCAAAAGCACCCACGTCATGCCACCCTGTTGATAAAATTTATCAAGCTCGCTCTCAAAAATTTTTGGGCTGTTTGCCCTGCCTCTGCTCCATAGCTTCCCTGCCCTGATGTATGAATACCTTTTAATAATTTCCAGCCTGCATTTATTCATGGTCAGATAGTAACCATATATTACACCAAACACAGCCCTCTAAGCAAATTGCAATATTCTACCATTGCCAAATAAATACCAATGGAAGTTATCCTCCTGGTGCATTTAAAAACACCAGTATGCCCTTCCTAGACTGGGTCTCTATTTCACACTGGCCCTGCCCTGTTCCCAGCTAAGCTTTTTTCCTGCAAGCCATTGACCAGCCGTGTATAGCAGACCCGAAAAGGCCATGTCCTACACAGTGATATCAGTGCATTAACCATTCTCTCATGGTCTTTTCCAGAATAGATTTGCCTATTTCACCATCCCAGCACCCCCTCTGCCCTGCACACCTGTCTCTGACAGATGGTGGTGAATATTCCTCCAGTTCACTGGCCTGCAGCTCTGTCTTCCTCCAAAACAACCCCTTCCCAATTCCCACCGGGCCCCAACAGCCCCCCAGGCTGCTTGGGTTAAGTGATGCCCTGCAGCAACAAGCAAGAAAACATCTTGCTCACCTATCCTTACTTCCAGTTTTATTAATTCAAGTTTCTAAGTGCCGCAGCCAGGTAGTTCTACTCCTGCTCTGCCCGAGATCCCCTGCCTGTTGCTGCTCTACTTACTGAAGCTGCCAGCTTTCATGGATCGAGATAACTTTGACATTGACACTCATCTGGCAGCCATCACAGCATCTCAGTCTGAACAGGGTCCCCTGGGCTGCTGCAAAGCAAGCTCTATTCACTAGCAGGAAGCCCATGGAAACAGGGCATCTGATGGTGTAATTTCACCGGTAACAAAAGCTATGCAGAGCAAATTTGGCAGGGATTTACCAAAGACCATAAAAGAAACTGTCAGTCCCAAACCGACCTCTGCAGAGTATTCCTGATGTTAAATTTCTCTCTGATGATTTCCCATTTCTTGGGTTACAAGGTTAGATTCAGGGACATTGATGAAAACATTATTTACAATTCTTGGAATGTCATTGCTCACCGATCAGGTCACATTACACGCAGAGCAAAGTGCTGACAAGTACCCAGCCACAGGCCTGTTTGCCGGACAGCCGTGTGTTCATTGAGCAGAGCCTTATCACTAGTATTTCTTTAGTGTCAACAATACAGCTGGAACTGCCTAAGACTGAAAACAAAGAGGGGCACTCCCATCAAAGTTAGTTTAGCCTTATGTACACAGCACAGTGAGAAGAGGTATAAAGGTACAGCACAAGAACTGTTCTGCACTCACTGCTCTGGGACCACTCTCAGTGCAAGGCACCCACGTGCAAGGCACCTCAGCCTCAGTGGTCTCTATCTTCCAGTGCTTTTTACTGAGCCCTATTTATTGGCAAGCCCCAAACTTCTGTCACACCGATGTGCCTCAAAAAAAGCCTTTGCTGCTTTGCACACCGCTGCAGCAAACTACAAAATAAGGCGCTCAAGAGCGGGAGGAACCAGTCCAACTTGCTGATCAAGGATGCAAGACTTCTCTGTCCCTGCTACACGCAAGGTTTTGCAAACACTGCTGCATTTATAGAAGCAAGAGCTGTTCCCTTACAAGCTTTCACTCAGTGGGAAATGGCTCTGTGCCACCACTGCTGTTGCTGGGATCTGCAGGAAAAGCTTGAGAAGCTGTGAAATGTGCGATGAGGGCTGGGTGATTGTGTAGGAAGAAAAAAATCATGCAGAGAGAACATGTGTGGGAACAGAGCTTGTACGTAATTCAGTTACATTTTATAAGCTCGTTTTAGAAGGAAAGGTGTGCTCATGTAATTTGCATGAAGATTAGAGCTGCTGTTATTTACTAGCTTTATATTTGCTGTGAACAAAGGCAGGTCCATGGCAGTCTCATCCATGCCTGAAGGGGAGCAACCACCCTCCAGCCACACAACCCCCAAGTCCTGAAGCCACAGATGTGAAACTTCAACCCACCCTCAGCCTGGGTCTACAGCTGCTGTCCAGCTTCCTAATTGCACAGAGGCTGCAAAGAAACCCAGATGGGACAAGAAGCCTCAAAGCCTCACCACATGGGAAGAGGTGAGGTGAGGTCACACCAGGCTCACATCCCATTGCCAAACCACTCACATGAGGGCTGCCTGACACCCAATCCAGGAGCGAAGCCATGCAGCAATGCAATCTGCCATCCCTTTGCCCAGGAACCTCTGCTCCACTCAAGGCCAGAGGTCAGTCCAAGGATAGACACAAACCACCTTGGCACTAGCAGCATCTTGAGCTGCCTGTGCTGGTCCTGCAATAAGCACTCTCTTGCCTTCCCAAGCTCATGCACATTTCCAAGAAGGAGGGAAGCATGCAGAAGGGTCTCCTACCTTCTTTCACATGCTCCTATGGCCTGCGAGTTGGACTCACGCTTTAGGTGGAGTGTGGATTGAGGTGGTCTATGCAGAGCCCATCCTGGATCCTGTCTCACATCACCTTTGGGATGTCACATGGCAAATTGAAAATGTGGATTGACTTGGCTGAAGTATAACCCAGGTTTGGGAAACGATCAGTTTTATGCTGCAGCTCAGCACTCAGTTACGCAAAGAGGTTGTACCAGCACAGCAGAGGGGACAGCAGTCAAGGCTTGTGGGTGACTAGCAGAGTCACCACAGAAAAGTCTGCAGGAACCACGCTGCAGCAGGAGCACCAGGAGGGGAGATCAGGCTCTGCCCACCCTATGCTCGTCGCAGACACTCAAGGAGAGAGACACAGGCTGGAAATACAAAGATCCACACACACCTTCCTCTGGCTCCTTCAGGGTCCTCTTCACAAAATCCACAGCCTGAGCCACCTCCAGGTCACTGCACACGTCCATCTGTAGCACTTGCATGCGATCTGACTCCATGCTCCTCAGCTCCCTGGCTCCGTCTCCATTCTCGTCCTGCTCAGCAGAAAAGAAAGATGTCCCACTAAGGCAGACAAGGAGCAGTAATGCAGCCTGGGGTCAGGACAGGAAATAGAAGCTATTGACACTGCACACAGAGGTGTAAACCTGGTGTACAAATAAGCATGAGAGCCACACAAACCAGCGTGCAACCCACTGCCACCTTCCTATTCCCTCCAGCACAGCCCTTGTATCTGCATCAGTGACCCACTGCCCTGAAGGGCCAGAAAGCCCCTGCTCTTCACTCCTCACACAAAGGAGTGAATATTTCACATCCACAATAGTGTCAAACACTGTGCCAGCCTGAGATAACCACGGGTGATTCTTCACTGCCTCAGTTTCCATGCTCTGCAGGTAGCATAACACACACTTGTTCAGAAATCAGAGTCAGATTTTCTAGGCTTAAAAGTAAAAAGTTCATTAGGTACCGTACTCATCTCATTCCAAAATATTGCCTGGTTTCTAATGAAAGGGTATGGTCAGATCACTTTGAAAATAAGGCAACTGGGACACCTTAGGCATGCCTAACTGCAAATGGTCTGATGCCACAGGATACAGCAAGAATCATTTACAGCTGAACCTGTATAATAATAGTAATTTGCTCTTACTGTACAGCAGAACAGGATGCACAGGAATACATGCACAGTGGAGATCTGCCACATCACAACAAGACTACAGACACAAGGCGTGAAAAGAGGAGATTCTGGCTGAGGAAGCAAGAACAAGTTTGTTGTTGTTTTTTTTAATTCACACCATAGGTAATAAGAATGTGATGGCTCTGCTTTCCTTTCTATCCTTTTTGGTTTTTTCCTCTTCCCACCCCCCCGCTATCATTAGAGATTCTGTTACTATTGTGGGGTGGTTTTTTTTGTTCAGTCAACTTAAACACAGCTCAAATTCAAAATTTTACCTGGTCACTTCCAGACAGGACTGCTGCCTAAGCCTTACAGCCTTGCTCAGGTGCTATACAACAAATAAAAATCAATAGAGCACAGATGATCCATGCAGTTCCACAGCAGGTTTGGGATTTAATTCATCAAACTACTCCCCAAATCACAGGATCTGCCTCGTTAGGGAGGAGAAGTTATGAATTGGTGAGTCACCATGCCTGGCTGCCACTCTTCCTTTAGCACTTGATACCAACTCCCACAGCACAAGGGCAAACAAGGCGAGGAACCCTCCCACAGTCACCTGCTCAGCTGCCTCTGCAGCCAGGCTGATGTAAAAAACATGTAACCACTTAGGTTTCCCATTCATATCTCAGGGTATTTAATGTATATAGTACACAACATCTCACTGCACCTTCAGGCCAGTGAACTATGACATATAATGAAGGAAAAGGGCTGAAATATCCATTTCAGCCTTGAGCAAGACAGAGTAGCTTTCTTAAAAAATCAATATATACTTACATCGGAGCTATGACATCAGTACCTCCTATGGCTGCAGAGCATTTCACAACTGACTTATTTCCAGGTATCACAAAAAACAGCAAATAAAGACTTGAAGCTTTCTAACGCACATCAAACACAGTGACGTGCTGTGTCTAGCCTTCCCACCCAGCCACAGAAAGAATCCCTACAAGTGGCGTCACAAGTAGGTAGTAACACAGCCACCAAAATATTATACTCCCTTTGAAAAAGGTGAGGGTTATGTGGTGCCTCGCTATATTTGTGGAAGATGCTTTTGCATCTCACTGAGTTATAAAAGCAACTTTTAGTTACTTAAAAGTGAATAGAGCTAATTCAGCTTGTAGAGAGAGAGATTTATTCTAACTATAAAGGAACAAAAAAAATCTTATCTGTATCTGTACTCAAGTACCAGTTGTCTTTTCAGAGCATTGAAAACACCTTTCCCTACATGTTTTTTAAGATCTTATAATGCTTATAAACTAAACAAGAAATATTCCCACTTTTTTTTTTGAGAAAGAAGTCTGCAACTTAAAAATCCAGTATAAATGGTTTGTATTATTCATGTTGAAACAGATTTTCCCCTATCACCAGTGCAACTCAATCTGCAAAGTTACCTTCCCAGCTACAATTTATTCGTTGTTGACAAAAGAGATTGATTTTGGAAGACTGCCTTCAACTTGCAATATCAATTGGAGCCACTTTTCATAATTGCAAACACCACCTCAGCCACTATTTAACTTGTAAAACAAATAGCTTGACTCGTATGACCAGAAAACCTCTTCACAAATGAAGCAGCCATGTAATTTTATGGAAAGAAGTGAACATCATTTTATGTTGTGGCTTCTAGGGGCTGTAAGCACATTCCCTGTTCTGATACCCACATGGTACTTCCTCCTTGTTTTTTAAACAGTAGATTTGCCAGCTGGGAAAATACTGGGAGCAGTTCTGGTGGGAGCAGCCAGGCTGTCTTCCCTGGAGTGGCCTTGGGATGCACCAGCACGAGCCGAACAGGATCCCTGGGGGCATCCTGGCAGTGCTGGCCCAATTGCTCCTGCAAAACCTCTCTCCCCCTCTTTTTGCTGCCATTTTATCAGATTTTCCTCCTTTCAGAGAACCTCCCACCTTGCCCTTTCCAATTTCATCAGAGCTGAAAGCTGCCCTGCTCCAGCTGAGCCTGCTGCCCAAGTACTCTCCAGAGAAGCCTTCAGTGGGACTGTCCCATTTCCTCCAAGCTATCCCATTTCCCCGGTTATCCTGCCCTCACAGGACAGCTCAGCTCTGGCTGCCCATCCCACCTTCTGCAGAGCAGGGGATGCTCCTGTGCAGAGAGCCTGACCACCACATGAGGCTTCTCGACCCTTCAAAAGAATCTTGCTCCAGCTTTCTTCTGCCTCCCCTTTCCCTTGCTCACTCCCCTCCTGCTCTGGTTCCAAGGATCCTGATGCAGCTGAGGGACAGGCAGATCACACAGAAATTTGTTAGCAGAGAGCCCTCATCTAACAGACCAAGCCATGGCCTTTTCTCAGGGAAGCTCATGGGATTCAGGATTAGCTCCTGGCAAGCACTTGGGCACCCGCAGCGAGATGTCAGTGGCAATCAGGAAGCCACAAACACAATGCAGAACACCCGTGGATCCGGCCAACTCGCTCCATCTGCGTCAGTTCCCCCCTCGCCCTGCTGCTGCCTATCCACCCTCTCCCTTCCTGAGCTTCTGAGGAAGAACACCTTGTATTTGTCATTATTTGTTTCCATCTCACTGATTTCAGACTCCACCTGATCTATCGGGATCATTTTCAACCCTATTTCCCAAAGGCCCTGCAATCCTCCCTGCTTTGCACCAGGCACGTTTCTTTCCGAGTGAACTCTCTAATCCAGGGAGCACTTCCAAGAAAATTTCCCTGGGACTGAACACCAGTCACAGGCTGAGAGCATAGTTTGCTCATGAGACTATCATGAGGGACTGTGTCAAAACCCTTATTCAGGATACACCGATTCCTTCCCCTCTAACCACTCTGCTGCTTAGTCAGAATGAGTTAGACATGGCACAGGCTGATCCTGGTAAACTTCTACAGTGTGTATCACACTATGATCTAGGCATTTGTAAAACTGACAGTTCTGAGTGTTGTAACTTCATCTAGCGCACCGAAGGTGAGCTGCCTCGTTGGTAATTCCAGAGCCCTGTCTCTTTTGGGAAGAGAAGCATAGATCTGCCCTCTTCAAGCACCCTGGAAATCCCCCGGCCTCCAGGTGCTCATGAAAATATCACCCATGGGGTAAAAATCACAATAGCTCATCCTTTAAATGCTCGTCAGTACATTTCATCAGGCCTGGTGAACTTGAACACATCCATTTATGTAAACGTTCCCTGTTCTTTTGCCTTTTCTTGCCCACAGTCCTCATGAAACCTGCTGGCAGTAGGCAGCTGAAAACAATTTATATTTTTTTTTCAGTAAGATCAAAGAAAACAAGACAATGATTATTTCAACTTCTTCTTTACTTCCTACTTTTCAGGTTATTTTGTAATCGATTTCTGTGTATTTTTCCATCTTAATCCTAATATATTAACAGAAACTTTCTCTGTGGACTTACTTGTCCTTGCTAAATGAAATCCTTTTTGCCCTTGATCCTCTCCAGTTCTATCCCAGCCCGCTTGCAATATTCTTGTTATTCCTGTAGCACTGCTTTTTACCATCTGATCATTAAAAAGCTCCCAAAACACCTGACAGTGACCCATCTTGTATTTAACACAAGAGCCTTCTGCGGTGGCCAGTACATCAGGGATCCTTTAATTCCCAGTATAAAAGCATGCAAGTAAGTGATGATGGAGTAATTATGTGTGAACTAATAGCCTGGCATCCGCTCTGCGACAACTGCCCCCATACCTGCTCTGACCCCACTGTGAACCTACAGCAGCTCACTCTTCTCTCATGACGGGGTAAGTTTCCTTGCATTTGTCGTGAGCAGTAATAAGCACCCTGCTGGTTACCACCAGGTTAGCAGAGAGCCTTCTTTAGCTGTCAAGACTGTTTAGCCCAGGTTACCAGGGTAGCTGCATCCTGAGCTACACTGCATGGAGGATTTCCCTTATCAGCAATAATTGTCCATATACTCATGCCTTGTCCTTCACAAGTAATCTGGCTGTCCAAAAGAATGCTGGCTATCTCAAGAACCGTAGAAAACACTTGCCTATGTTTCTTTTGCAACAGCTACCCAGATAACTGTGTTACCACCAGGCCCTGACCTTCAGCCGCACCTAACAGCAGATGAAATCACACCAACAACCCCGGGGAAAAAAGCCACTCACAAGTGAAATCCTAGGGCACCGAATCCAAATTTCCTGAAAATTTATTAACACACAGAACAAGAAAAATCACATTCTTCCACTCTCTACTCCTTCAGGGTTAAAAGCTCAGTCAATCCCCTCAAAGTCACCTGCAGATCAATTATGACCGATGACGCATTTTCCTCTTCCACACAGAATGCAAGTAATGAACCACAGAAGTTTTGGCTCTGAGTAAGAATTTGCCATGCCAGATCAGAGGGGATGCTGAGAGCTGCCCAAACATTCTGGGAGAGATAATAGTATGTGCTGGAGACGTACTTTTTTATTTCTTTTTTTTTTTAATCAATAAAAAAAGCAAGCAGGCCCCACTTTGGTAGCGTGTATTTTCTTTATGTGGCTTCAAATGGAGCCTGGCCCTCCCTGCTCCCCACTAGCACATCTGGCTTCTAAAGAGCCCTCTGAGACCACCCTATTTTCCCTCTCCTTTCTGTTCCCTACACCTGCTGCTCGGCAAAGTGAGTGCCTGACTTGCTATCACCACAGAGTCCCAAAGCAGCGTATGACATGATTACTGAAGGATTTACAGAGCCTCCTCATGGAAATTTTCAAATAATGGCAGTTTTCCAACAGGACTCTCTTGCTCTCAAGTTACACAATATGTCAGCTGATAATAACTTTCCCTTCTGGTGTGGTGGAAGAACGTAACCTCTGCTGAGACCACAGAGGCAATGAGGGCCACCTTTTTGTGTTTGTTCTCGCCCTGCACACTACTCAAGAATCTGTGGTCATCACTTCCTGAACACCTGTGCCAAAATGGCCAGAGAAACAAGTGGGTATGAACTGATTTTGAACAACAGGTCAGATATTATGTACATGAGTTTTGACTAACAAAAACAGCAAAAAAAAAAAAGCATAGTAAGGGTAAAACCCCAGCTGAGATAGTAGTGGAGCTGGCCCAGTTTTATAAAGAGCATCACACAACAGTTACCTGCAAGCACAGGGACTGAGATGATAGGTCTGCAACCCCTTCTGATTCATTAGGCCTAAAGTGATCTTTTGCAAGAAGTGATGACATCTGCCCAAACACAGGTGGCAGAGGGGGAGACTTACAGATGTCAGAGGCATACAGTAAATCCAGAAACTCAATAGTTCCTAGAGAAGCTGTAGAAGTACAGTTTGGAGAAGACACTTCGGAAACAGAACCTGACCAAGGCAGGAGAGGTGGCTTGGAGATGAGCTTGAGGAGAGTGACCCCAAAGGAAAGTGACAGTATGAAAGACAGCAACAGAGATACCAGGAGAGACAGAAAGCCATAGTGCCGTAGCAATCTTGGACTACCAAGATTTATTGAGTGTGTTGCAGTATTGCCAAGAGGCTTCCAGCGGTGTACAGTGCCCTACTGCGCAAGCTGCTGTAGACACAGGCAGTTGACAGTCCCTGTCCTAAAGAGCTCAGAATTACAGAAGTGACAAGATGCAAGAGGCACATGAAGCAATAGAAGCTGTCATGATCCCAGCCCACTGCACTTCCCCCAGGTCTTGGATAGGGTAAACAGAAGCTACAGATAGAGAGGCTGTCACTCGAGAAGCATTTTTCTCCATTCACAGAAGAATTTTGATCAATATTACTACTCACCGCTTGCAAGCATCCAGCAAAAACAGTAAATCCCTTTGAGTGGAGTCGTTTTGCCAAGGCATGTCCAAAACCTTTGTCGCAGCCTGTTATTAGCACTGCCTTCCCTTCAGCCTGTGTGGGGAAAGATACAGCACCATCAGATATAGCAATGCTGCTGGCACCGCCAGCACCCAGCGAGGTGGCACAGGAGCAGCTTCCAGCCCTGCAGCCAGGGCTCGGGAGGTACAACTCCAGCTGCAAGCCATGGTGGGCATGTGCCTGTCTGCACACTAACCTGACCCAGCAATTGCAGTGGAGCTTCTGCTGGGTCCACCAGCATAACCAAGGTGACGAGATTCCTGTGTAGAAACACAACCAGCTCCCAACTCCTGTGAAACCCTAAATGTATTCAATTGCTGGTCTGTAACAAGTTGTGATGCTTTGATACCTGAGCTAGGACAGTAGATTGCTCTTTCAAGGATCAGTGGCCAAAGCAGAAGAGAAACATTGGAAAAAAAGTTAGAGACCTACCAACTCATAGGCATTATAAGAGAGAGCAGGACAGAAGACATCCAAATGATAGTACGTCACCTGCTTGAACTGTACCACACTCTTAACTGCAGAGTGACTCTCTATTGTCTGTTCTCCACCAACTCCCACTCTTTGCGGTACTTTCCATGTTGTATTTTAGCCCTCAGGAATGTGACTACGGGCTAGGGTTTCCTTCTGAAACACTGCAGTCTTAACAGGAACAACTTATCAAATCCTACGGTTCTCTCCTACATTATTATTATCATCTTTTGACTGATGGATAAATTGAGAGAGAAGATTTGATACTCCATCTGATGTGACACAACACGTTTGCGACAGATCTGAAAACAGAATCCCAAATCCTGAAGAGAAGCACGTACTGAAACACTGCACCTTCACCCTCTTTCTTTCCTTGAAAGCCATCTCTCCCTGCTCTCCTTATCACAGCCGTGAAGCAACGAACTCGTAAGGGTCAGGCCAATGTGCAGGCACCCAGCTGCAGTGCTCAAACTGAAACCTTATCCATGAGGCAATAACATCATATAGTAATACCAGTTCTAGAGAATGCAATAAGGAAGCAAGGTCACATCCATCTCTGTGGAGATATGTGCAACTAACAATCCTCATTACTGTATTAACAGCTGGAATACGAACATTCACATTTTATACTACTTACATATGAATTGCACCAGCTTGTCCAGCCACTTTTTCAGACAGAAATGGGGCAATCACCAGTGCTAGTGCTCTCTGATCTCGTTTTGCTGACATGCGTGGTAGTGAAGTGACAATAAAGAATAATTGCAGGGCAATAGTGATCAGAGCATTACTGCACAAACTCAGAATGTGCAGACAACAATAAGCAAATGAGCTACACCCTGTCCTGCCCCATATATCATATTGAAGCTGCTGCTTTCAAAGGGGAGTCGTACCTGAAGCTGAAATGAGAACCAACTAAAAGCCTGTCCTGCATTTATCATGCACGCAAACATATTAACACTGATTCTTACACTCAGGCAAAGAGCACCCAGCTATAAGCTAGCTCTGCTACAGCTCTGAAGGTGGCTACAGCTAAAGCACATAAAATAAATGAGAATTAAATATACCGTGCTCAGTCTCAATTAATTTACAGTGACACAACTCAAAGAGAGATAAGGATCAAGCATAAACCAGACCACATAATTTGCCAAGGTTACCTCCAAAATTAATTCAGCAACCTGACCCTTGGAAAATAAAGGATTTGACTTTTTTCTCTGCCTCACCTCCCTGAGCCCTTTGTTGCTGAATTCAGGCAGCTTCCCAAAAAGGCAGCAACTAAGCAGGAGATAAGGACTTGTGTGATCACTTCCAGAGCTGAGGACAGGCCAACAAAGAGCATGCCCAATCCTCAGCCATCATTAGCTTCCCTCATCAGCTGGTCTAATAAGGACAGAGCTCAGCTGCAGGAAATAAAAGCAAATCACTGGGCTGTGTTCCGCACACATCTAGTTTCAGCTCTCAGCAGCTGGTTTGCTTTCTCAGGCTAAAAAAACCCAAACCACACCAAAACATTCACAAAAAGGAGAATGTTTAAAAATCCTCTGAGTCGTCTATAATGGGGAGAAAAGTGAGGAGCAACTTACAGTGTGAGAAGGTTCCTGTGATTATTTGTTAATCATTTGCTATTACGCTAATTCCTGGTAATAAAGCATATGACTACAGCAGTATAGTTCATAACAGACTGAGGCCCCAGCAGCAATAACGAGCCCCCCAAGGGATGGAACAGATCTCACATCTGTAGCTGCTCTCCAATTTGTGCCATCCCCCATGGATAGAGAGCTCCCAGGAATGGGAGCAGGGAGTGACCCCATTCCCAGCCAAAAAGATCCTATTCCCAAAAAAACTCCGAATACAGAAAAGCCCAGACAACCTTATCTTTTTAAAGTCCTAAGATAAGGCCTAATGGGCCCCATTCCTGGAGTTTGATAAGGTCAGTCTGCAGCTTACAGATTGACACACTGCTGAGGCAGGCAGAGAGGACGGGCTATCACCTCTTCAGCAGGCATCACAGTGACCATAATCAACATTTTGAGGAAGTTCAGGTGCCTCACTTGCTAAAGGTCAAACAGAGCTCTCGGGAAATACTGCTCAGGAGACGGCACTCGCGTACAGCACTGTCAGGGCTCCCGAGACCTGCTAGGAGTGTGGAGGAACTTTTGGTACTGGAGGTGCTGCTGAGGCATCTGGGCAGGGTAGTGCTGTCTATATCCTCACTGTGTGATCCACAGCACTGAAACACACACAGTTCAGAGTGCCTCAGCAAGGCAGCCCAATTCCAACCTGCAGCTTAGCTCAGGTGCACGCACCTCACTAGCTTTTCTTACTGGGATATGATTGCTTTACTACATAGTAGAATTTATTTTACTCACGCAAAATGATCTATCAAAATTATACACATTTATTGCAAATAGGCTAAGGAAAGTGAAGCTGCTTTCTCAGCCTCAGTCTCTCTGGACAATATGGGAACCTATCCTGCTTGCCTAGACTTTATCTTCTGCATGTCACTTGTTTTCTGGATCCTGTTCCCTTTTATGCCCTCCCCTTACCATCTGCTTGATATCAAACAGACTAACTTGCAGATGAGAGCAAGTTACACAGTGAACTTTGTTTGTTCCCTTTCTCCAGAGTCGTGAGGTTGAGGTTTTCAACCCTAAGAAAAGGAACTGAAAGTATTCACTCACTAACAGGCAGGTATTTTCTCAGGTGGGAGAGGGATGGGGAAAGTCAGAGGAGCAAAGCGGAGGGGCAGGACCGAGCTGGAGGCCCTGGAGCAGAACCACGTTCCCTGGCCTGCAGAAGGGTTGTCCGGCATAGAGGCAGAAGCCCGCTGAACTCCAGCCCAGTGAGAGAACCCCAGACATTTTGTGGTGTTTTTTTTCACGTAGAAGAGACTGGTTATGCAATTCTGTTCATTCACAGGGCTTTTTTTCTTTTTTTTCTCCTTTAAACTCACTTCCAAATGTAGAGTTACTGGAACAAGCCCCACGCACCCACCGAACGGCGGGTTTCGCCCCCGCAACCGCGGGGCCCGGGCGGGCAGCGCTCAGCCGCTCCGCCGCCCCGACCGAGCCCGCCTGCGGGGCCGGCAGCTGCCCGAGGCTCCCGGCGTCTCATCTCCCCTCTCAGTGCCCGTGTTAAACCTTTACCAGCCCAGCCGCCCGTTCCGGCCGCCCTCCGCCCCGGTTAAACCGCAGGGGGCCTACAGGCGCGGCGCCATTTTGGGCCCGGGGGGAGCCTCCACAGGCCTCCCGGCGACCCCCTCAAGGGGCCGCGGCCCCCGGCCCCTCGCCGCGGTACTCACGGGCAGGGGGCGGCGGGCCCGCCGCGGCAGGAGG